AAACCACCCCAAAACCAAACAAAAAAAAAAATCGAAAACGTGCAATCGGATGAAAACTGCCGGGTTTAAACTACAGGAGAGGCCTAGGAAGAGCAATAGATTGCATCAGACCAAATGGTGCCGCTCAGACCACGCTTAAAAGGTTTCGAGCCTTGCTTTTGGAGTAAAACCGAGAGATTTAAGGCAAAGCCGGGGCAGGTCCCGGGGAGCAGATCCTGAAGGGATGGAGGAACGAGTCGTTATTTTTCAATCAGCTGAGCTGTGTTTGCTCCGGAGCTCCTTTGCGCGGTTTTACTGGCGTGGGAGGAGGGTCCCAGTTCAGGGAATTAAAAACGCGCCCATCCTTCCCCTGACTTCAAACATCCCAAGGTCGCTCGTTCAAACTTTCTGCTTTATTTCTGTCTTTCTTAATAGACAGCCTTTCACCATCCTCTAACAAAGAAACCACACTTTCTAGAGAGCAGCTGAAGGAAATTATACAGTAATAAACACTGACGGTGGGGAAAAAAAAAAATGTTTGTTTTCCTAAGCAAATACAGTTAAATACTTCCAAGAGGGTTTCTTCTCCTGGAGAAATCCTTGCGAAGAGGCTTGGAGGAGGGTCCTGGTGAACCCGGCAACTTCGAGGGATGCGATGGGAGGCTGGAAGGGGCGAACCTCCATTTTCCTGCTCTCTTCAATGAGCCGAATTTTTTCCCCCGATTATTTAAAAGATTAATTTTGTGGCGATAGAGAGAAGTGTGTGTCTTAAAAACAAAACCCAAAAAACAACAGACTTCTAAGAAAGAGGAAAAACGGGTTTGTAGATGGGAGATTTCGTGCCTCAATCTTAAAGCCAGCAGAGAATTTGCATTATTCTTCTGTCGCCTTTTGATGTTTCCCATATTACATTGTGATTTGGTTGTTTTCCCTCTTCTTGCTTAATCCAGGCTCCTGCCCCTTTTATACGGGAACAACTACTAATACAAAAATTTGCAGATTAGTAAATGATAAGCCCAGAACATTTTCCCTTTAACAAATTTCAGCTGAAGAAATCTTAATTCGTAGGGTTTTTTTTTCCCTCCCTTTAAATCTAGCCCAGCTAAACCAGGGAAAGTCTCTTATTATGTCTAACCCATTGATTTACTACTAACGCAGGATTTTGTTTGCTAGTTCAGTTTAGAATTAAAAGAATGCTGGAAAATATTTTTGTTGCTAAGATAAGCTTAAACCAAAACTCTTCCCTGCTATTCAATAAGCGCTGGTATCGGTGGAAATTAAAGGCGATGCGAGAAAGCCACAATATTTCAGTCTTTTTATATGACAGAGAATGGTCTTGGATATTGCCTTTTCCCTCAAGGAGCATTTTATATTCTTTGGGAAA